GCCGTTTGCTCTTGATGCGCGCATCGTGTGGCAACTCCTCCCTTCCGCCGAGTAAACGTTCGTCGAGAGTGGAGGGGATCCGTGGGCGCAACAGGATTGACAATGAGCGACGTGTGTGTATATGTGTCTCTCTGTATGTGTGTGTGTGTGTCGAAGCTGACATCAGCTTCGCGAACGAAAATCGTCCGCGTCCAACTGAAACGTGTCCCGAAACGGGATTGTTCTCAACGGTTTGACTCGGTTTACGACAGTTCGAATAGTATTATTGTTATAATAATGGGATTGGAAATAATAGTGAAATAAACAGGTATTGTGTATTTTTAGATACACTTATCTCGTTGGAAAATTTTTTGATTGATAACGAATTTAGCAAGTTTAAATTTTTGTTCATCGCGATTTATGTCACGGATTTCTATTTTTGATTGGTCGGAGAAAAAAAACAATATATTTTCGAAACTCCTTGTTCGAGTACAAAATAGATTTCAATTATCGACGTTTCCATTTTTATAAAACTTCGCGGTTTTAGTGAAGAAATTCTTCGAATATTGCTGGGATTACAGCTTCTCGAATATTTTACTTTTTCGTATAAAACGACCGCGAAACGAGCGATAATCGATCGGTGAATGGAAGAAACTTAAACATCTGTCTATTAAATTAATAAACAAGATAGAAATACGCGCAAAGTGGAGGAGAGTCTCGATGATTTGACTTAATTCGAGATAAAATAAAATAGAGTCTCTTGTAGAATAGAACAAGATTTAACAGTCCTGGCTAGACTCGAAAAGTTTCCTGAGAACGAAACAAAATACGGAAAGGAGGCAGAATAAATCCAGAAAAACCTGTGGAAAGATGAACGGATCTCGAATCGAGAGAAGAAAGAAGGAGAATTCTTTGGAAAATGGGGAAGAGAGAGGTTAAAAGAAGCTCGGCGACACCTTCGCGTAAACTTCGTTTCTCTCCTAACCCTCGCATCACTGTTCCACCACTCTAGGCCATGTTGACAGGTTCAAAGGAGGGAAGACTTTCGAAGATATTCTTTTATTAAGGGGAGCACCATCTTCGTCGAACGAGGAAATGAGGACCGCTCTTTTCCTCATTTCGTGCAATGTTTTCTCTCTCCTATTGAAGAGAAACTTCAGTGTTAATATGTTAAATACACGTTACGGTCTTTCCTTCTATAACTCGAGTATATCTCTAAGTTTCGGGGAAAGTGGGTGTACGAGTGATGGCGAGAGTCTCTCATTGATCGATCGATCGATCGATCGAGATGCGAGATGTTCGGTAATGTTGAGTGTTTTCCTATAATTCCATTGGTGAGAAGGAACTGAGTTATCCGAATTAGGTTCCTTGGAACGCGGGAATAAAGTAAATTTGAACTTGGAAGATAAGCGTGTTCTTCATTTTAATGGAAGCTTGAACCACTCGTAAGTCAATATGCGTATGTGTATCTCTTTAAATTATTTTTAATTCAACGATAAAAGATTTTTTGTTCACAATTTGAACACTATATAGTCAAAACCAGTTTAATCTTAAAATAAAATATTATTGCGACGTTGTACTACGATGTTTGCAAAATATCATAAAATGTATCATGATTGTGTTTCTATCTAGAAAAAAAAAAAATAAAAAAAAAATTGAAAGATGAAAACTGCTGAAACAGGACAGACTCGACTATATTCGTCATGTGTTTCTCCAATACCCTCGATACATTTGTAAACATACCGAGCATCGCCATACGTGTCTTTATCTTATTTCTCGTTTCACGCGCCGGAGACTCTCGAGAAGGAGGGAGGAAGAGGAGAGAGAGAGAGAAGGACGGAAAAGAATCCTCTTGCGTAATTGGACGTAGACGAGGTGACGCTACGAGAGGATTGCGGAATACGCGAGACAGGCACCGCTGGAGAATGGTGGAGAGAAAAAATCGGCCGGAGGATTTCAATCCTGTGAAATTTAATTACAAGATTTATCGAGGATCTTTGGAATGCCTTTCGTGTAAGGGGGAGGTTTTAGGATACGACTCCGGTCGATTGGATAGGATTAATTACAATTCTCGAGTTATTTTCGAGTTTTATACGATATCGAATCTTTTGAAATTGAACGGGACAAGAGAAAATTTAGATCGGATGTTTCGTTGATTGCTTAAAGCTTGACTTCAATTCAATCGTTCAATTCAAATATTTAATGATGTTTTATTGAAAAGCAGATTATTAAAATATTTATTAAAAAATAATCCCTTTCGTTTCCATACTTTATACGAACTCTCGAGAATTTTACTGTTATTATTAATAATTATTATTACTTTATATGTTATTAATAACTATTATTATTAAAAAAATTTAAGTCTAAATCAAGCAGAGGGTTTTCTAATTTTGATAAAACATTTCCGGAATGGAATTGCGCCACGTGTATAAGCGCCTCGATATATAGCCAGTTTCTAGTCGAGCAAAACGGTTAAACGCGACATTATTACCCGTAGTTATCAATTCTCGTGCGGCGAGCATGAGTTATGTATTTCGTTCTTCCGGGTATATAAGAGATCGATCCGTGTATTGTCGGTGCATTGTGTCGTTTGCGTGTCGATACACGGTGAACGTGCACGTCAACGTCAACGTTGTCAGCCTCTACCTATCTTGCTGTACGTCGTATATCGTTCGCGATTTTGCAAAACGATCAACCGGAATTTCGACGCGACGT